CGACGCCTGCGGCGGCCGCAGGGGGTGGGACATCGGCCCGCTCCGCTCAGTCTGCTCCGGGGAGGGGTGAAATGGCAGAGTCCGGATTCGAACTCGCGTCCCTTCTCTCGCGCGTGCGCTTTTACCTTGGCTCAGGACCCTGGAAGGGGGTGGCGGGGCTGGAGGGGGCCCGATGGGGTCTCGGTCAGCCTGCGATATGGGTTCCTGCACCTCGATGCAGCCGCAGACCCCAGCGCGCGTCCTCCAGCGCCCCCACGTGGAAGCGTCTCCCACTCCACTCTGGGCTTTGAAACGCGGGCTGGGCGGGGACGCGCGGGAGGGAGGCCGGCGGCGGCGTGGGTGAGGGCGCCCTTGCTCCGACCCCAGGGACCCCAATGGCTCCAACCCCAGCACTCCACGTGTCTCTGAGCTCGGGTTCTTGCGCTTATGCACTGATTTCGGATTTACCCAGCACCTTACAAAATGAGAGCTGCGGGGGCGGGGGACAGGGCAGGGTCACGACAGCCGTAACAGCCTGGCAAGGGCCCTGCAGGCGCCCTGGGGAGGGGCGACCCCCTTTACCACCTTTATGGCGCGGGCACAGCCTCCCTGCACAGGGTGCTGAGGCTTTGGAACGTGGCTCTCCAGCCCAAAGCGAAGGTGGAGCAAACAGCCTTTGCCTCTGTGCCCGGGGGGTTGTGTGGGCAGACGGCTTGGCCCAAGCCTGCCTTGCCCTTGGCAGTTCCGGCCCCTCGGTTATGTCCCTGGAGGAACCTGAAGGTATGGTGAAGTTTCAGAGATATCCTTGCTGAGAGCTCATCTGAGTTCTGAGAATAACCAAGCAGGGTCTCAGTCCTCAGCTTTACCAGCAGGTCCTGCCCCACTGTCAGAGACCCAGGGGTGCAGGGTCCCGGGTCTCTCACCTGGCTCCCTTCAATCCCCGTTACCTTGCTCCAAAGGGCCCATGTCACCCACATCTTTGTCCTTAAGGAAAGACAGACATGCAGAGTGGACTTTCGGGACCACGTGTGGGGTTTATGTCAGCAGCAGGCAGAGTGGTTAAGAATACTCTGGGTTTGAGGTGAGTGTGTTGCACACCTGTAATTCCAGGACTCAGGAGGCTGAGACAGGAAGATCGCTGTGAGTTTGAGGATGTCCTGGACTACATAGTGAGTTCAAGGTCAGCCTGGACTCATAGTGCCTCAAAACAAAACAAAACCCCCAAACCAAATACTCTGGGTTCGAATCCTAGCCCTGCCACTTATCATTAGCGACCTTAGGCAAGCTGCTTAACTGTTCTGAGCTTCACTCACCGAATCTGCAAGGTGGAATAATAATACCACACTTGTGTTAAGAAGAATTGGGCTTGTGCCAGGGATTTAGCTCAGTGGTGCCACCGCCTGCCTTGCAAGCACAAGGTCCTGAGTTCAATCCCCAGTACAAAAAAGAAAAAGAAAAAGCAAAGAAAAAGAAAAAGAAGAGTAGGGGTTAAATAAAGCATGAAAGAGCATCACAGAGCATCTGATGTGTTACAGGCGTCTATGCAGTGATTATTATTGCTGTTAATGATAGAATTAGGCCGTGACATCCATCCCAGTCCCATGGGAAGCCCTGGTTGAGCAAAGTCATTCGGGACATTCCTGGTCCTTCCTGCGGTCAGGTCCTTCCCTAGGGCAGACTTGACTTAGGGACCTGAAGGGTGGGCTCAGAGGCTCCAGGCCCCTACTCGAGGTGTGTGTGTGTGTGTGTGTGTATGTGTGAGTGTGTGTGTGCCAGTCCTGCCCTTTGCCTGGAGACATGTCCCTGGGGTGCTGGCTTCGCCCGGAGCCTGCCAGCAATAAAGGCACCGAGTCTGACCCCATTAGTGCACAGAGAGGAGCTCATGATTAAAATTGGCCTTTTCTTCCTGGATCTTGGTTACTGAGTACGGGAGAAAAGTGAGCGGCTAATTGAAAATATAATTATAATGCACTGTCCTGTGTCTCCCCAGGGGAGCCTCCAGACCCCGCTGTCTGCAGAGCAGTTTGTTTCTGGTGGCGGGGAGGGTACTGGAGCCGGCCGTGTGGAGACAGCGTCCGCAGGCTGGGCATGACAGGCGCATGGAGCTACAGAGGGCATCTGTGGGGGAGGCTGCCTGTGCCTCCTGTGTCCCTCTTCAGTCTGGGGTGCGGAGGGTGGGCCCTCAAAGTCGGCCCCTGGGCCATTGTAACTCCAGGAGGGCCTCAGGGCTGGGCTTGGGACCCCGGGCTCTGCTGCTCCTGCCACTCCTAGGGCACACTTGATCCACGTGTGCCTGGCACCAGATGTGGCACTTACAGAACTTCCCCTTTAGTAATAGCACAGTCTTCTTGTCTTGGAACAGTCCCCCGCTGGTCTCCAGGCTCCTCTGTTCCTGTCATTCTGATTTTCTGAGTGACCCTGGGAAAAGACCCTCCTTTCTGCGACCCATTTGTAAACTGGCCAAGTTTGTCTGGTGGGAAGGTCTGAAATCTTAAGCAAGGAGGGAGGTGGGTTGGAGATGCCCTTTGGAGTGTGTGCTTCTGATGGGGGCAGTAAGGGAGGCTGGATGGGAGAGGAAAGGAATAGTCTGAGTTCTACCTTGATGGCTGCCTTATACAGTTGTTGGGGTTGAGCACTGCACAGTGATACCTTGAAAGTACAGAAAGTGGAGGCTTATATTTGCCAAACCTGTCTCTTGGGCATTGGCTGTGCCACACAAAGCAGGGCTACCCTATCCCAGCTCACAGAGAGGTGGCTTATGGGTAAAGCCATCCTGGAAGTGCAGATGATGAAATGTTGGAGCAGAAATCCAAAGGGGATGGTGGAATACACACTTTTGAGTTCATCTTGTCCCTAGAAAGGCATCCTTGGACCCCTGATGGTGATGCCTGGGGATGAGGCCCAGGAGCAGCCTTGCTATAACCATGGTGACCATCTATGGTGACTCACCATTGGAGAATAACAACATACACTCAAGGCTCATGAGAAGGGGCCTTAGACATTAGGGACTTCTGGTCGACCTGAGCCTCACCTTTAACAGAGCTTTTCCTGGAGTTCAGTGGTTGCATGGAGCGGGGTTTTGCTGCAGATCGGGAGATGCTGTCCAGAGAGAGCTGGGCTGGTGGATTCTTGGGTGCAGACAGGTGACAGGGGAAGGTGTCCACGAGGAGCACGGGAGGCAGAGTAGTCTTTCTGAGGTCACTGGGATTGTCAGGGGGCACCAGGGGGAGCCTGCACCAGGGACCAGAGGGCTTGATGGCAGCAGAGGCTGCTGAGGGTCTGAGGCCTGGAGGGGGAGGGGGCACTGGGTGCTGAAGGAAGGGGAGCAGCTTTTGGGGTAGGAGCTGAGTGGTGCTGTGGACACCGGGACGGAGATGCTCGGGAACAGTGCCTAGGACGAGGCTGGAGAAGCTCCGAGGTGGTGAGCGGCACCCACTCTGTTTTTTTTTTTTTTTTTTTTTTTT